GGCGGCGGAGCGCGGCGGGCGGGAGGGCACGGCGGCGGCACCGGCACCGGCACCGGCACCGCGGGGGCCGGGGGAGCGCCGGGAGCGGCCCCGGGTGGGGGGCGAAGAGCCTGAGGGGCGGGCTGGCGGCGCAAAAAGGGAGAAGGGGATGAATTAATCAGTGAATATTTTATATCACCTTAAAATTGTGAGGGTTCTCCCTCTGTTGTTCTGGGGTCAGATGCAGCGTCCGTATTCAGGAGAGCTGTTCGAACCGGCGGCACCTGCAAAGTTCTCTATTCCTTTTCTGTCCAAAGTCACTCGCTGAACAAACTGCAGGATACAACACTGGTGTTCAGTGCGTTTATTTGGTAATGATGTAAAACGCGCAAAAATCATCCCAAACGGATCCTTTTGACATAATTGTCAAGGTGCTACCTGCTTTAGGAATTGCTCAGAAATAGGCCTGGTCTAGGATGTGAGTTTAAACTGGTTTCATGTTATTTCTCAGGCGTAATGCAGGTTTTACACGGAAAAGTTTGCCTTACATAATGATGTATTTTCAAATCCTATTCCTACAGAAGGAGTCTCTGTTAATCCTACCTTCCTTAGTAAAAGGTGATTGCTTTTTATTTCTGTGACTTATTTAGAATCTTACCTTCTAAATGGAAAGAGAATTTGTTGCTGTACAGAAATGTCTAGTAAAGTTACAAAATAAGGTAATGTGTAGTAGTAGGAGAGTAGTTAAAAACTGTTAAAATACATGTAATCAAAAATTTTGCCTACAGGGCTCAGCATCCAATCATCTGGCTCTAATTCCCCCCCAAAAAACCCCAAACCCACACACTTGGCTACGATACTCATCAAGTGAAAATAACAGTAATTTCAGTGCTGCTAATCAGAAAACTCTGTGGGAAGAAGTGAAATTGTCAATTTATTGGACACCTTCTAGCCACAAGCTAGAAATAGTCCTCAAGTAGCGTCTGCGGGGAGCTGCCTGGGAGCAATCTGTGGCTTTGTTTCCTTCTCCAGAACAGATGGTTGCTGGCAGACCGGGCTTCTCATCAGTGCCTTCCCTCTGAACCCTTCTGATTCTTGTATGTCTGCTAAGCATGTCTCTTCCTAGTAAATTTAGTCCTCAAATTAAGAGATACCTGGGAAATACTTGGAAAGACACAAGGGAACAGAAGGCTGTCATATTGTTGGTTCCTGAGAGAGAGAGAGGTGTTGAGTATTCTTTGTGCTGGAAAAGTACAATAAAGGGCTGGAGATGGTAAATTTTTTACCTTTTTTTTTCTGCTTTTAACTGAATGGTTGCTGAGACATTGGTTTTGAAAAAAAGAGAAAGACTGATGAGGTTTCAACAAGGTTTTGTTTGGAAGAAGGTTTCCACTATGAAGTGGAAAACCAGAGTGTAAAGGGAGTCAAAAGAAGCTGAAGAGGAAGGGAAAGAGAAAATAAAGCACTGGGATGAATTTTCCTTCCTTCCAGGACAGATACTGAGGCAAGACCTAAAAGTAATCTAAAAAACCCCCCACAAAATTCCTCATTTTCTTGGTTCAGTGTTGTTTTGTTTTTGGGGTTTTTTTCAGGAACGAAGAGAGAGATATTAACACACAAACAGCCATGTGTTTTTGGGGATGCTCCTCTTTCCTGGCGCGGGGAGCAGGGGGAGCCGGGTGGGCCCTGCAGTGCGGGGGCCAGGCAGGGCCGGACCAGGCCGGGCAGAACTGGGCAGGGCCAGGCAGAGCCGGGCCAGGCCGGGCAGAGCCGGGCAGGGCCGAGCCAGGCCAGGCAGAGCTGGGCCAGGCCGGGCAGAGCCGGGCCAGGCTGGGCCGGGCCAGGCTGGGCAGAGCTGGGCCAGGCCGGGCAGGGCTGGGCAGAGCTGGGCAGAGCCGGGCCAGGCTGGGCCGAGCCAGGCCGGGCAGAGCTGGGCCAGGCCGGGCAGGGCTGGGCAGAGCTGGGCAGAGCCGGGCCAGGCCGGGCAGAGCCGGGCAGAACTGGGCCAGGCCAGGCAGAGCCTGGCCTGCAGCACCAGGGCACATCCGGAGCGAGCCCTGTGCTGGACTCGGCTTCGCTGGTGTCCCGCCAGGCCTGGCCCTCAGCAAGCCCAGCTCTGTGGCTGCTGCTGCTGGTTCTGCTCTCCAGGGCTCCCTGTCCCCTGCAGGTCCCGGCCATCCCAAGGCCAGGTGTGCTGCTCCCAGGAGACAAAGCTGGGGAGGAGCTGGCAAGTCAGAGCGGGGCCAGGCCGGGCAGAGCCGGGCCAGGCTGGGCCGAGCCAGGCCAGGCAGAGCTGGGCCAGGCCGGGCAGAGCCGGGCCAGGCTGGGCCGAGCCAGGCCGGGCAGAGCTGGGCCAGGCCGGGCAGAGCCGGGCCAGGCCGGGCAGGGCCGGGCAGAGCTGGGCCAGGCCAGGCAGAGCCTGGCCTGCAGCACCAGGGCACATCCGGAGCGAGCCCTGCGCTGGACTTGGCTTCGCTGGTGTCCCGCCAGGCCTGGCCCTCAGCAAGCCCAGCTCTGTGGCTGCTGCTGCTGGTTCTGCTCTCCAGGGCTCCCTGTCCCCTGCAGGTCCCGGCCATCTCAAGGTGTGCTGCTTCCAGGACACAAAGCTGGGGAGGAGCTGGCAAGTGCTGCTGCAGGAGCGGATGGCCACAACCACAACTCTTTTAATTGTACCCTGTTTTACCAACATGCAGTTTTACCAAGAGATCCCAAAAGCCCACGAGCCATGCTGACTAAAGTGCACTGTGTTCACATGCAGAAATCTGTTCTACAGACTGTGGTTTACAGCTCAATACACCAACGGGTTCTTTCTCACTATCTGGAGGTATCCAAATCTGCTCCTATTTTGTTATCCTACTGATTTAATTCAGTGGAGTGTGCAGAAAGTGGTTCTGTCAACACTAACAGTGGAGTTACACACAATAGTCATATTTTTTATTCTGACTCCCTGGATTTATTTACATGTTGTTACGGGGTGGTTTTTTGTTTTTTGGTTTTTGGGTTTTTTTTACAGTGCTATATTACAACTTTTAGCACATAACTATCCCTAATGAGCAGACATTTTATTTGAAATTTATTGCAGATTAAATTTATGGATTGAGAGCATAAAGGCACAAAGGACTTGTAGGAATTTTAGCCTTAAAGTTAATATGTCTTACCAGATGGCAGGAATTTTAGACAGACTGTGAAATAAATAGGAAGTTCACACTTCCTGATATAAACAGGGCATGAAAACATGCAATTCAACAGAGTGTATAATAACCAATGAGGAATAAAGAGAAAACTCTCAAGGGCTAGAAAATATGTGGTGTAAGTATCTATTATGACATCATACAATAAAATTATTTTTCTGAGGTCTTACAATGCAATATTTAAAAATGAGTAGTCTATTTTTAAAATTTTGTGAATTCTATTTTGAAAGATGGTAGTAAGATTAGCTATTTAGTAAAGTCCTACGTAGATCAGCATAGAATAGATGTATTCAGTTATGTTTTCCCCATTGATATTACATGTAAGAGAAGAGTGCTTTCCAAGACCTCCCTTGAATAGGAAGGGAAGGAAGTCGGTGCACAGTTTAAACAAAAAAATGTAACAATGCTTTTCTAAAAAAAGAGGAAAGCAGCTTTGAAATGTATTATGAGTCCAACTCAATGTTGTGGGCTGTAGGAGGAAGAAATCATTAGCTTGGGAAAAGAGCAGCACTGGCACAATAGCCATGTGCAGATGTTAATAAGGATATGCCTATCAGCAAGGTGTGGGATAAGATTAGGAGGATGAACGTTAGTAATATAATCCCTAAAGAGTGTTTTAAAGGAAAAACCTAATTCACAAGAGGTTGTTTCTGTTAACCAGATGGATATGTGTTTAGGAAAAGGAAATGTGGGGAAAACCAGGGTGATTTTGGAAAACAGACCTGACCACTAATGTCCTATTGTATCAGCAGTGATTTTCCCTTTGTGGTTGGTAATCTCTGTGGAAGCTGTAGTGAGAGCATGCTGAAGTGCAGGATGAGCAGAGCAGTGTTGCCCTGGTGCTTGGGC